TTCCCGTGGCAGCGGCCATCTTGAAATGCACTCTCGTTCGGCCGAGATCTCGCGAGACCGTCCCGCAGTGGCCCGCGGGACCTGCACGCAACGTCTCACTGCGTGCGTACGCACGCCGGCAGCACAACGTTACGTTACGTTCTGCGCAGGCGCACTCGCGGCCCGCAAAGTTCCTGCGTACGCAAGCTCGTTGCGTACGCCCAACTAAAAGTGTCCATTGGCAACCCGAAACACAACTAAACACTATGACAGCACAGTAACGTATATCGCTGAACACGTCAGTCGAACAGTTCGACTGATGTCTCAAGCGATAAACGTTGCTGTACTGAACTCTACGCCTTGGAATGTCCTTCACACAGCGAACACAATAAGGTTCGTTGGTCGAACCTTCTAGAATGTGGTACGAACCGAATGTAAACCGTGAGGTTGCGAACATGGGAAGACCCATAACCCATTGCCCGCTGTCCTCAATGAAGGCGCAGTTCCCGAAGATTCACCAGCTCCCTCTCCTCTATCTGGTCTGTTGGTACCACTAACATTTAGTCGTCCTACTCTAAGATCGAGGCGAAGAAGCAGCAGGTCTCGTTAACACAATTTACGCCTTCTTACTTCCAACCGTTGTTGCTACACTGCTCTTCCATCTCCCCATCGTCGTCTACCTTTTTGTATATATTTTCATTATTTTGTGTTTGTTCTAACCTTTTACCCCGTTCCTCAACCTGATTGGACGAGATTCCGAAACTTCACAAACCTCGGCTTTAGACTGTAGCGAGCTTGTTTGTTACATTTGTTTTTCGGTGAAGCCTTTCTTTATAGAGGGCTTCTCACACACGTGCGAGGCTCGCACTTAGTTTTTAAACCTCTATCGTGACCCCCACGCGTTGTCCTCTAGTCCTTGCCTGTGTAACCGTCCCGAGGGGCAGTGTCGCTTTGCTTTGAGAACCTGCCACAGTCTTATCTACAATGGAAAAGGTAAGGCTGCCGTGGCCTTCTTACGAAAATTTCTTTGAACAGACTAGCAGCAATGGAAAAAAATATAATCGTAAGGTCCAACTCTGCGCACCGTCTCTGAAAAACATATTCAACAAACTGAAAGGCGACCCCCAATTTATGAAAACATTTGCGGGTAGGCAACTTTCCTGTCACTCTCAATAATACTTACAGTTATAAAAAAATAATAATGGCTCGTCTATGTCTTCAAGCTGAAACGCTCTTATAAAATATTATATTTATAAAATCGAGGCGTCCAAGAGGCCGGAGTTTTGTAATAATTCGCGGGTTCTCATTTTCGTGACGCGGTGGGATCGCAATATAGATGCCAATGTGTTTACATTTTACCGGAATTGTTCCCGGGATTTATTTCTCGCGAATTGTAGGCGATCCGCAGATTCGCGAAAAAAAAAGTCGTTTACAGTTTATCATGAACTTTTCGAGTTGGTTCTTGCGATGCTAAATTCAAATCGGTCTTGTTTTTGAGGCGCATAAGATCGATACAATCATGCTATCCTAATGATTAGTTACATGACAATCCTAAAATTATTGCCTATTTCAGGAGCTTTTTAGGGGTTATCATACACTGGATTAACCCAGAATCCCTGGCAAGAGGGTAACTGCTATTGTCACACTAGTTTTACGGAAGCGACCGCAGTTCGCGTGCTACAGTTACCCACATCCGCATATTACGCGTCCACACACAGAGAGAGGCAGCGAATCATTGTGGCTCAAATGTTTTCGTAAGTTGTCGTAGTCTTTAAATGATTGACGTCGTCTACAAGTTTCTCTTATCAGCCATTATAGTGAGTTTTATTATACCAGTACTGTCGCATATTTGTTTCCTTGTATCATTTTCAAGTTTATTTTTGTGTGTGTTTGTGTGTGTGTGACTTGGATACCATTTGCATCAGCACTAAGGAGACTCGCCTCGCATCTGTGAATTTTGTCCCCATTGATTCGGGAGCCCCGATTCGATTCTTATAATTTTCTGAGCCATTGTTATTTCAACTCAATGTACATAATTTACCATAACATGACACGTTTGTAGGTGTATGTGGTGGTAATAGTGCGTGTCGATTGTAGTTTGATATAAAATTAATAAAATATTCAGATATGACTGTAATCATTGTCGCATTTTTATTTGCCCGGCTACCAAAAGTGAGTCAACCCAATTTTGCTTGGCGATCGGGTATCTTGGAGTATATAAAGTAATTTATTTTTATTTATTGAGAAATAAGAGCGCAGGAGTTCATTACTCCAAACTGTTAAGTTCTACGAGTCATTTAATAAATTTCATTATAGGAAAGTACAATACGTGACATTTATACAGCAACCATATAACTCGTTTAAAGCTATATGGCCCAAGGTAGGTAACTCTCAGAAATAAGTAATTGTAAAGTAATTGCAGTACTCTTTAAAAGTAGCTTGTAAATGCAATGAATTTCTTTTGCGTAGTAGTCATTGTAGTTAAACTACTTTTGGAACAAAGTAATTGTAATTGTAATCAAATTATAATTTGAAAGTAATTTACCCAACTATGATCGGGCGTACTTAAGGAGGCAAACGCGCGTTTACCACGCGCCATGGCGCCTACCGCGCCCTCCGGCGACCTCCGCGCAAGACTGCGTATGTGCGGAGCCGCTACGTTGAACTAACGGTACGCTGCATAGCCAGAAGAGGGCACCACACGCGAAGCCGCCGCAGAGCCATAGACATCGTCGCTTCGCGGCGAGCGGTGTCCGTTGGAGTAGAGGTGCACCGCTGTTTCGACGTATCGGACGGGCAAAAACGGTTCCCTAAAACTCTCTTTTATCAGAAATACCGAAATATAACAAAAGAATCGATTGCCCCCCCCCCCTCTTTTAAAAAAAACAACAAAAAAACAGAAGGTCTGTATAGAATATTATATACTATTTTCTTATCTAATGCGGACAGCTAATAGAAAGCCGGCGACTTATGTATATGTTCGCCACAGCTGACTTAACGTACCACACCTCACATGGAATCACCTCTTCGTACATATATCACCCTTTCTACAATCAGGAAGGCGCCTAAAAATATTCGGGTATTTGTCAATTTGGCAGTGAACAAAAATTTTGTTCAAGGAAACATTCGGACATCTATGAGACCTGAACTACGAGTGTTCTAGGCACTCGTCACCGTACACGGTACGTTATCTCGAAAGCGAACGAAATAAGTTGCGAATTGCAAAATGAAGAGGTCAACATTAATTTAACTATACAGGATGTTTTCGCAATCGCTCGTTCTTACGTTCCCTTCGACTATGGTCGAAGAAAACGATCAGGAATGCGAAGCTCCGAACAACATCTATACGTGTGTTTGATCACGTGATTTCAAAGGCCTTTATTCTTGCGGCAAAAACATGACCATTAAAATCCCGATAGACTATGTGCAGTTATGACTGCATCATTCATTAACTTTCGACATTTCTTCGACGGAACAATAAAGGAATTACACGAAGCGCAGTTACGTAAACCATGTGCAATACGTGCAGTGTCTCCCTTCGGAATTGTTTTGTCCAAGAAATCAACTACATGTATAGGCGTGATACTGCGCGAAGCGGCGGGCGGGCACCGTTGCCAAAAACCTAAAAAAAAAAAAGGAGAATTGGGGAAAGTGATTTTTTTGACGTTCCCCGTCAAAATAGTTCACCTCCGTAGAATGTCAAAATAGTGGCTTTATTATTTCGATGTCCCCCGTCGATATAGCCGTCACAGTGGTAGCGTTGTACACGTTTCACGGTTGCGTCAGTTTCGTTCTATTTACTTTCTGATGGTGTTGTCGCTCGGTGTTGTGTTGGCATGTTGACGGAGTCGTGTGTCGCACGCACAAGAAGTTCATATACTACTTGGAACTAGAAATGTACCAATCAGCGTGTGTGCGCTCGACTTTGCTCGACACTCGATCTTTTCGGACGTGACACGCCCGGTGGCGATGTTCTCAGCTCTCGCACGTCATTTCGACACGCGTCTCACTTAAAATTTGAACCTTCAACAAAGGCTCCCCCCCCTTTCTTAACCCGGTTTCGTGAGTTTGTTCTTTAGTTTGTATGTATTTCCTGGTTCCTATACGATTGGGATAACTGCGAAACAATTGGGATGTTAAATAAAATGTTGAGAATGCGAACATTGCCTTCTTGATGCTTCTTGACCAATGCACACGAGCAACAAAATTCTCATACTGCAGTCTGCGCCACGGTTGTACGAGCTACACACATTTTCCGACAGCAAATGTCATCCAATTAACGGCAAATTTGATGACACGAGATTCAGCTCCTTTGTTTATATAAAACAGCAGAAATAAAGAATGAAAAGCCACGATGTTGCATTATGTAATGGTTCGCACACTCAGGCAAAATTATCTGAGGCCTTTTAGCTAACGTTGTACCTTAAAAAGTTTTTTTTTTTTTTTTTGAGGGGGGGGGGGGGGACTTTTTTTTTTGTCATTTAAGAGGTTATCAAAGCTGCAGTCGACTGCACCACTTTTGTTTTCAGAAAATGAGCCTTGAACCGCGACGCCGTCCGCAAACAAGGTATTTTTGGACCGCCACTTTCGGTCACTTTCTATCCGGACTTCGAAGCTCAGAAATTCTCAGTTTGAGACGTCAAAATAATAATACAAATAATAAAAAATAAAATCTATATTTTGACGGGGGACGTGAACATGATTTTGAAAACATTTTTACGTCTTCAGAAAGAGGACTCACAGACGACAAAATAATACTCGAAATTATTTTGAACTTAGACGTCAAAATATCACTGCCAAAAAACAAACAAAAAAACACTAGCACAATTAAGGATCACGAGGACCGAGTGCGGTATTCCGAGGTAATCCAGTGTACTTCAGGGGTGCCCGTATTCCTCGTGTAGAAGACACTCACGCAGCACGACACGAATCCGCACACACCGAGATTCTCGCAACCCACCCACGCCGCAGGGCGCACACGGAGAACACGCGTGTCTCGCGGCCGAGCCACAGGAGGGATTACAGTGCCCGTTCGCCCGACGCACGTCGACGTATCCGAGCGGTAAAGGGTGTTTAACCAGATGTCTTCCCGCTGACGACGCCACGACGGCTTCCATCCACTCACATTTCACTCGCACGCACACACGGTGCCGTCTCGCGCGGATCACGACAGCTGCGCCTTCGCGCGCAGTAGAAGTAGGAGAAACACCTGGCAGAGGACTAGAGGCGAGGACGCTCTTCGAGGGAGAGGGCGGCACGGAGACGCGGCCTCACATCCTGTGGAAGCTGGCACCGGAAGTGCGCGGAGGCAGGTTCTTGATGACGATGCGCGGGTGAAAGGCGTCCGGGTCCGGGTTGATGCACGTCAGGTTGGCGCCCTTGAGGAAGCCCCTGCTGCTGCTCCGGTGGTGGTTGTGGTGGTGGTGGTGCTGCTGCGACAGGGGCGAGGACGTGGCGGCTTGGCTGACCGCCACGGCCGGCTTCTGGTACAGCGACACCGCGGGGGACGACGCCGCCGCCCTACGGTGTGGGGAGGGTGAGGCGGGTCCCTTGGCGGTCCCCGATGTGCACATCGGAGGGAGTGCGAGTGGCGGCCGCCCGACAGGCCTGCGCACGGGCGCCGGCGCCGGCAGGCCCCTGTGGGACACCGAGAGGTCAAGGGGCCGGGTGTCTTCGTCGCCCTTCTTGGCGCTCGGGGCAAGCGGGACGGCGGGGGGAGTCCTCGAGGTCTGCGGATGTGCCCGGGGCGGAGATGCGGGCAGCCCGGGGCTGCCGGGCCTCGAGCACTTCCTGGCGGGACTCTGGCTCTTTTTGGCCGGCTCCGGGAGCGACGCACTCTCGGGGATCAGCCTGCCGGGCGAAGCGGGGCGGGACGCGCGGCGGCCATCCGCAGGTTCGTCCTCGGCGACGTCGGCGCCGTTTAGCCTCGCGTTCTTGGCCGGCGTCGGCCCGTCTGGTAGCTCCAAGGAGCGGCTCTGGGGACGCCGGGGCCTCTGATCGCCCTGGCTGTCCTGGGGTCGTCCCTGGTGCCTGGCGTGCTGCAGTGGCCGCTCGGCGTCCCGCTGCTCCTTGCGCCTGGACTTCCTGGACAGCGGGGAGCGGGGCGGGGACATGGCCTGCACCACCGCCGGGGGCACCTCCTTCGTCTGGATGGTGATCTTGTTGCTGCTCCTGTCCAGGGTGCTGATGGTGATCTTGGACAGGGCGGGGGGACTCACGGCGGGGGACTCGGCCGCTTTCCGCCGCTGTTGCTGCAACGGGGAAGACGACCGGACCACATCCGCCGCCTGGGCACTCCCGGGGGCAGCCGACCTCTCGGTCGCCGTTCTGCTGCGAGGAGCCCCCGGAGAGGCACGAAAACATTAACGGACGCTCCCGGGACTGGTGAATAGAACCCCTGCAAAACGTTCTTTAATCCGCTCAGCACGGCTGAGCCAGAGAAGGGCTCTATTTTATATACCTAAAAGCAACACTGCCTCCAGGTCACAGCACCAACACAAAAGTTGACAATGCACCAACTAGGAAACAGCTAAAATAGGAAGAGCAGGACAGTGGTTTGGACTGAAACGCGCCTACGAAAGCGTCATCCTCAAGCTGCATGCAGCGATGCAGAAGTTGCCGCTATTTTTCCGTGATGCGACTATATTTCGCTCAACGCTCTTCCAAATGTGATTGTCCGAAGAAGTGGTCTTCCGGAGTGTGTAAGCAGACACTGTTCGGATAAAAGTGTGTATTAAAGATGATGAAAAGCAAGAAGCGCTCGGCGAAGACAGGACGCGAACACCCCGCGGCCTTCGAGTGAACGAGTCCACGCACGCCACACACGGGCTCGACCATAGCCTCCCCCATTCCACAAAGCCTGCGAAATAATCTGACCGCCGTGAAGGGGAAAGGAGGAACAAAAAAAAAAGGAAGCGCGCAGGGACAACGCCACCTAGGCAGGGGGCCCACTCAAACAGCGCCAAAAATGCCGGAGCGGTAGGATCGGAAAACAAGGTCGCACTCCTTGTAGCGGGAAAGGAGAAGATGGGCGCGCTCAGTAGCGGTTCTGGTAGTCTGGGAACCAGAACTCCTTCCACTAGACGGCGAAGGACGACTTCCGGCGCAGGTAAACCCAAGTTCTCGGAGTCAAGCCTCCGTGTACTTACACCGGAGAAGGTGCACGAGGAGTCAACAAAGCGAGGTAATCCCAGAATGCAAACTAAGATAAAAGAAGAGATAATGGCGGGAGAAGTTGCGTCACTTGCGGCGTGAGTCTGCGGTTTGCTCACTTTTGTTAATTAAAAGGTATCGAGGTAAGGCGAATAACGCGTACGGATTTCGTTACCAGCTCAGGCTGTTTTTACAAAATGTCTCGAAGCGTATTTGTTCTGTTTTGGATGTGCTAATAAACAACGTAAACGTTCATTTGGCACAGTGTTTTGATCGCCATTGCACGAACACTCCGCGATCATCGATGATAGTCGTGTCCGTGCTGAACAGAGCAAGGCAGGGTAAGGATATAACTTTGGTGCGCGGTGGGACACTCCCTCGGAGCATGATCCCGACTATTAGCGAGTTTTCGCAGACCGATTTCGCCGTCCCGCAACGCTCTGCGCAACCCACTACGATACCCGGAACTCTACAGCCAAGGCTATCGGCGCGCAGGCGCAGTAGCTGCTTCTTCGTTGCAGAGGGCTTCGTGGAGGTTGAAACGCGGTCTACGAAAACTCCCTATTAGAGAGTTTTCGTAGATCGTTTTTGCTGTCCCGTAATTTCTCGCAACCCGCTACAATGTCCGGAACTGTATACAGTCAAGGCCATGGGCGCGCAGCCGCAGTAGCGGCTTCTTCGTTGCGTGGGGTGGTTAGCGGAAAGGGAAACGGGATCGACGAAAACTCCCTATTAATTTTCGTAGACCGCGTTTCCCCCTCCGAAACGGGATCGACGAAAACTCCCTATTAGTTTTCGTAGACCACGTGACTGGCGCCCCACTGCGGCGGGACGCCGAAACACACTTCTCCCGTGCGAACATGTGTGTTTCGGGTCCTCGCCGCTGCGAAAGCTGTGCGCTGACGTCCAGGTTCCCGAGAAATGTTTCCTTGATGCTCTGTGCAACCAGATCCTCGCGCTGCGAATCTGCGACCGGGCACTCTATGGCTCCGTCGTCGAACTGCCAGGTTTTGTGAGTTTAGTGGAGGCTATCCCTTAGCGAAAAGTCGTTCAAAATCAGTACACTCGAAGTGTACTGAAGTATACTAAAAGTATACTTTCAGTGCGGTCTTTGTACTGATTGTATACTTTAAGTGTACTTAAAGTATACTTCCAGTAAAAATGGCGGTGGACTGAAAGTATACTCGTCCGTACAAAACTAGTACATGTAGTAGAATCGTAGTGCCCACGGTAAAAAGTAGTTCAAAATTAGTATACAAGGAGTGCACTCAAGTGTACTAAAGGCTTACTTTCAGTGCTTGCAGTCGGCGTACTCAAATTATAGTAATGGGTATGTATATATATATATATATATATATATATATATATATATATATATATATATATATATATAGTGCGATTGTTAACATCAACACACTAAAAACGCGATAGATAGGCCGAGGCCGTTTTCACAGAATATTTGTGGGGCTCGGTGTACATTAGATGAGTAAATAAACGTCACAGTACGTTGTCTAATTAGCTTTTTTTAATTGACAGTGTAATTGACCATGTTGAATTTTCAATTTTAAAGGGGCTATGAATAAACTCTAGCCCAACTGAAACAATTTGCGGAAAGGTGACGAGTTTTGGGTTATTCATAGTTATGAATAACCCAAAATAATCCGGTGTTCTTGTAATGCAGGTCTCAGCGTACTATACGCTGTTTCAGATATCTGTATCCACAGCAATCAAAAAGAGAGGAGGCAAAAGAAACCACGGCTAATAATGTGGCATAAGATCCTCCACCTTGCATGGTCGCATGCAGCGCAAATCAACTTCTGAACCGCGTAAGCGAAGTGATGTTATGAATGGAAGCTCGCTCTGAAATTGGCTGGAGAAGTCGGCGCCTTTATGCAATAACCTGAAGCTTTCACCGAAAGTGTTTCATGGTGTAGATTTATCTTGCAAAACTCTAAGGACATCTCAATTCACGTGAAAAGATATTGACAATTGCAACAACGAACAACACTGTCGATCGAGATTTCCACACTGTAAAAAATCGACGTAAATTTAACGCGTCTTTCCCTCGTCAAAAAAGACGGACACGCTCATTGTTTCAAAACACGAGGTTGCCCTCATTATTCATGTGCCGCGAGAGCCGATCCTTCCAGAAAAGTCGAAATACCAGCGGTGCAAGCATGCGCTGATGAATCAAAATAGCCTTGGCGACAAGGGAGAAATTGCTTGAGATAGTTTCGGTTTTACACTGAAAAATAAAACCGAAAGTTTAGATAAAACCTAAGATAGACTAAACGGTTCGTTAATTTTTTACGAATATAATAAAGTAACATTATTATTATTAGTATATTGATTTGCATAGTTTTGTCTTAAAAAAAGAGGAAAAAAAGAACAAAAAGAAGAGACTTTTGAAAACTGCGCAAGACCATCGCTATTGCGATCAGCTTCCGTTCGGCCCGTTCGGCCGCCGTTGGAGTTCCGGTGAGTTCGAGCATCGCTTCCTTTTTACGTTTTAGCCGTTTTTGCGGATGTTTTAGATACCTTACTTACGAATACCGTGTTCAATAATAGCAAGCGATTACTGAGAGCTGTGAGACACAGCGTCGCAAGTGGCGGATAGTCATGGCCGACTGGTGCAAGCGAAGGTGAGGAAGTTCCTTTTGTTTCTGCGAAGTGCGCCGCTGTTTCAAACTTTGTCTTGTACTGTGTGCTTGCTAAGCTATGCTTGACCCTCACTATGCTCTACCCGGTTTTATTTCGTTATTGGAGAAGAGCGTATTTTCAAAATTTATGGCTCTCTCCGCAGAGTGAGAAAGATTCGCGTGCGGCGGAACCGAGGGCCAGCCGAGGGCCTGTCCTGGGCGCCGTCCCTATACGACGGTCGCCCGACGACGCTTTCGCGGAGCGTTACAGTCTGACGGCAGTTCAAGCAATCACAGGTCATGTTAGTTCTGAGGTGTGGTTCCAACAGTCACTCGTCAACAATTTGTTTCATAAAGCGTTAGCGTGAAAAACGTTACAAGAGCGAGCAGCATGATTTCTTGCCCGTGCTGATGCCTGTGCCGTAGAGACGGACGATCTCTGCGTATGCCGAAGCGGCACGCTTTCCAATTTTGCGATTTTGTGTTGTGAATAAAGTGAGTTTCTATGTCACGTTTTTTAGTGGCGGCGAAAGCCGCTACAAAAGGCAGAGCAGTTAGAAAAAGCAAAAGCATGAAAAAAATGTTAAAAGGACCTGAATATTCGATGGAGTTGAAAGACTACCAACGTACCAACTCGCCCAGTTATTTTTTGTCAAAGAATAATAGCCAATACTAATATAATAAATAAATGTCAACTTTTAATTGGTTAGAAATTTATAATTGATGCACTACAGCCCTACCCTGTTCTAGTGCTTTTATAATAACAGGTAATGTGTAAATATATAGGATAGTTCATAGCAACCATTTATGTCCGACCATTATATTGAATCTTTTCTCTAAAAGCTCGAAGTTATATAAAAAAGTACTTATCATAAATCAAGCCGCACCACTGAATGTGTAATAGCGTATGACTTGTATGTGTGTTCACAGCAAAAGAAAAGGAGGCATTAAGAAAATGCCAATCATTTTGTTTGCTCTGTGTTAGAGCTTCTTTCAGGTATCAGGTTTTCAGAAACGATATTGCCCGATTTTCCTCGCCCTTCTGTCAGGATGAAGTTGTTACTATCTTGCCTTCCTCACATAGTGGTCCTTTGAGCGAATTATGTGATGTTATATCATAGAGTGGCCATAGGCTAATTTTCTTTTCTCTTTTTACGCAGGATGTAATGGCATACCATCATCACAAAGGAGAGCGTACAGTGAGGCAGGCTCGGAAACTTGAATAAAGTGATAAGTAGGATTTCAATTTCTGTCTTATCAATTACGTGAAGAACACTGGCCATAATGTTTGTATGCTACACATACATACTTTCAGTTGAAAAATGCAGTGCACCTCTTCTTTATGGCTTTTCTCACACAGTTTCAGAAGACGCCGGTACGTCATTCTCACGAGGAATAGAGCTGCCAAAGATTTCCTCGTTAACTTCCGGGCTCATTTTTAAGAGTGATGCACTCTTAAAAGATGGTGGTTGCGCCTCTGCATTATCATCATCAACTGAGTTGTCAACGGCGTTAACATTTCAGCCGTTCAAAGAAACACCTTTGAAAAGTCAGCTTTTTAAATGCAGGCGCCGATTTTTGTGGTCAATTTGAGACCGTTCTTTCCATCCAGAACGCCCGACATACACGGCGTCCCAGATAACTTGCACCATACTTAAAAAAACACCGGAGGGCTCTGCAGGAGTGAAGTCAACTGTCGTTAGCAAGTGTCTTGAGAAAGTGCACAGATTTTTTAATGCACCTGGTTATGTAAATAACTAAGATTAATGAGCTAACCTTTAAAATATTATTTTATGGGCCAAGATGTCAATTGTAAAGTTGCAAGGCGCATTGAGAAACACCCAATTAAAGTGTTTGAAACATAATATGTTTTCGTGCTTTTTTCCGGCCTGCAAAGAACGTACATTCGCGGCGCGCTCGCACGCCGTGATTAGGGAAGCGAGTTGTCACGAGGTATTTTTTTGTATTTCGCGGGCGTTTTTTTGAAGGCTAGGAAAAAGGAGCATGGTTTAATTGGGTGTTTCTTAATGCGCTCTACAACTTTCCATTTCACACCTCGGCTTTTAAACAAAGATTTCAAAAGTTAACTTGTTACTGTTAATTAAATAAATAAGCGCACTAAAACAATTTCGTGCACTTTCGCAAGAGACTTTCTAACAGTGTACAGATGGTTTCACTCCCGCAGAACGCTCCGTTTTTGTTTTTTTAAAGTTTGGTGCAAGTTATCTGGGACACTCCGCATATATGTACTAATAGTGTACATTTAGTACATTAAAAGCATACATGAAGTGTACTAAACGTGCACTTATAGTATGCTCGAGGTGCACTTATGGTATACTACATATGTACTTGGGGTGTACTAAAGGTATACTATTTTGTTTCATAATAGTGTGAAACTAGTACGATTTCAGTACATACCCTAAGTTCACTATTAGTATACTTTCAGTATACTGATTTTGAACGACTTTTCGCTAAGGGATGCCATAGCACGTCACCTGGCTCTGCGTCACTATGCCAAGTTCACCCCTAAGCTGACACTGTGGTGGGAGCTACACGCTTGCCGGACCAATCAGCCGCCTCCCTTCAATTGCCCGACCCCATACTCTGCGCGTGGGTATGCCCGAGGGAGCGTGATCACGTGGGAAAAATTGAAGTGTGGCTGGCCTAACGAGCACATCTTCCACAGTGCAGTCAGCTTAGGAATGAACGGTGGATAGTTGCGCGCAGTACTGCGTAAGCCACGGGCGGAGAAGGGGGAAGCACCCCGTATGGAAATCTTATATCTGGGCCATATCTGGCCATATCAAACATTATATGATTATATACGGCCTATATATAGCCATATCTGGCGTATATACAGACTTATCTGGCGCATATACAGACTTATTTGGCATATATACAGCTTGATATGGCGTATATACAGACATATCTGGCGTATATACAGACTTATCTGGCGGCCGGTTTTCAATATATTAAAAAAGTAAAAAAATTCTTTGTTAGCAAACTCTGAATGACTCATTGTTCGCGAGCTAAATATTAGCACAAATGATCCCAAACCTCAGCTTTGACAAGCTTAAGTTTGAAATTATTTGTGCTAGTTTTCACGAGGATTTCAATGTAGCTTAATTATTTCAAAGTGTTGACATTACGCCCGAATAGACAATTTGCTAAATCCCCCAAGCGCCTCGGCCTCCACTCCAGGAATCATGGAGACGGTGTTTCTTCGGCTGCCCAGTGATCGAAAATTTCGGGCAATTCTATGGTTACACACATTCGACTGTGATTCGGAGTCACCTTGAACACGTGCCGTACAGAACCCAAATACCTGCCATGCCACTTTTAAAATGTCCCGCCAATGTCATTACTGTGCATTCCGTCCAACCTTCAACCTGGATGAGCTGCAGACATATCTCTTACATTATTATCATTCTCATACAGCTCCTAAGACGCTGATATTAAGTTGGAAACGCAAAAAATGTCATAAACAGCTCCGCTGAATCCGAGCTAAATCCCTGTTGTGGTTGTTGTGATTTCTCGGCTTTCAAGTAATTCTTGGTAAAACAACAATCACGAGAATGATAATATGGTAAGAGATTTCGGCGGCTCAGCTTGGTTGAAGGTTGGACAGAATGCACAGTATCATAAACGCTGCCATTGACGAGAAAAATTTAAAAGTGATATGACAGGTACTTGAGCCCTTTGGGACGCTTGTTCACGGTGACTACGAATTACACTCGAAACTGTGTAACCATGGAATTGGTCAAAACTAGCGATCACTAGGGTAGGATTACCGTTTCCATAACTCCTCGAGTGCAGGCCGGGGCACTTGGGAGAAATGTAGACATTAAAAAGATATAGAGTGCTGATTTCAGGCTTGTGTCCTTTCGAACTGCCCGGCCAGATCTGGAATTTCCTTACTTAGCCAGATCTGGAATTTCCATACCTGATTTTCAGGCTATATCTGGCATTATGAGGCTATATCTGGCAGATATACTATATCAGGTTATATGTGGCCAATTTTTGATATGGCCATATCTGAAATCTTCAGATCTGGCCAGATATAAATTTTTTGTAAGGGACGCTTTGTCTGAATCCTGAGCGACGGGCTAATCTTCTATGGTGTGTGTGTGTGTGGGGGGGGGGGGAGAATGGCGACGTACACCGTGGCGCGGGTACACAAAGGAACCTCCAAACAAGAGGGGAGTTTATCCTTTCCCTTCTCTTGAACTGCTGGTGGTCTAACCTGTTTCACAAGAGAGCCGCCACTCGAAATTTCGTCACTTCCAGTATGGGCGAAAACATTGTTTTGCCGTCGCCACGCCAATAGAACACATTTAAGATATAAGCATAACCGTTACCCGTTCTCTTTTTGCCTCCCCTCTATTTTTTTACTATTAGCAGGACGAAATGTTTTATTATCAATGCGAAAACGCTAGCTGTCCCATGCAGCGAACCTAAATCATCAGCTTTTGAAGCCGCGCCAGACGGCACCTAAACTCCCCTGTCCCAATGGAGCGAAGCCTGTCGTCTGTAGCGAAAATCTGATGGATAGACTCCCATTAGATGGCACGCGTCATAGCTTCAAGGAACGAGGCTCTCATTGGCCCTCGGGCGGCGTGGTTTCAAGGAACGCCACCAGAGAAACTCTCTCCATGGCGGCGCAGCGCAAGCAGCGACCCGGCCGCCGGCAAAAGGGAGCAGCTGGCCGCAGAGCCCGTACGGGAACTTCGGAGAGGCAGCATAGCCGAGCTCAGCGCGGCGCGGCCACCTCATGAGAGCGTGCCCTCGGCCGTCGGCCGGAACCTCGGCAGTAGCGAAAAGTGGCCGTCCACGCCAGTACGCCACAGACGAACTAAGAGAGCGGAAGAACGACATTCATGCTTTCGCATTCACAGCTCATAAAAAGTGCTTAAGTGTCCTCGTTTTTTTTCGTTTTTTTTACCATATTTGATATGTTTATGAGGTGGCTAGGGGCGAGAGTAAACGAAGGTCTGTACTCTCGCTCCTGTACCTTTGGTAATGCTACGCGATTTGTGAGTTCAGTAGGAAAGCTAAGAAGGAATAAGTTGAAAAACCGTTTCATGGTTCCATGCAGGCCAATGGTCGATTGGTCCATCTAGCACAGGGGTGGCCAAGCTGCGGCTCTTCGCGTGTTAAAGTGCTGCTCGCGGCTCCACTCCAACCCCCTCCCCCCCCCCCCCACCCACCCACCCACCTCCCTCCCGGTCACACAAGCATTTCTCGAAAAAAAAAATGGAACGCGTTTTAAGTCGAAAGTCAGGTTGCGGTTTGGTAGTTCTGTGCTACTGCTACCTTACGTACGGTTGGACTGCTTTTGACTCGGATAGACTGAAAGAGTTCTAGTTTCGTTTATTGCTCTGGACAAAAGTTTGCCTTGCCCCTCCCCGCCCACCCTCCCCCTCCCCCTTGCCTGCAGCTCTTGGAAGTTTCGTGGTTTTGTTTGCGGCTCTTAGGCCGGGTTAGCCTGGCCAGCCCTGGTCTAGTATGTTCACCTTGGCAGAGTCAGCCTACCGATCAATGGAGTCCGAGGGTTTGTCCCTGCTTGAGACTCGAATACTCACCCGTCCAGTGAGTCCGGTTGGCGCGTCTCCGCAGCGGGAACGGCGGTCGGAACGGCAGCGTTGGCAGCCTCCTCCGCTGATAAGACGTCCCTCGGCACCAGTGCGGGAGGTTCCGCGTCCGTCTCCGGACTCCCCCCGTTCTGGGCGATACCTTCCGCCACGCTGGCTACCGCCGAAGACTCGGGCACCGGTCGACAGGGCACCGTCGCCTGTTTCGGGGGGCACTGCTGCGGCTGCCCGACCGAGTTCCCGCCGCTGTGTGCTCCGTCGACGTCCACCCGACCTTCGACCGTGTCTGCCAGGGCCGGCCGCTTTGTAGGTTGAGAGTACACCCGGAATGCGAGGCGTAGGGGAGACTCCTGTGCAAACCCCAAAATCAAATCCCCCGTTATGGTACGTTTACACTTGCGGAGCCGCCAGCGAATCCGCCCAGCTTTTGCCGCTGGGGCGAAACGCTGGGCGGAAAACGCGGCGGCGACCCGTTTAGGTCCGGGATCTATTTCTACCGCCGAAGGAGGCGTTTCGCTGACCGGAAGTGGCATTCTTGCGCAGCGCGACGCTGCCTACGTCATGAGTAGTCGTTTTTCCGGGTGCTGAAACGCCCGGGATTGGCCGGGAGACAGTCGAGGTGGGAACTCTCGCGCCTCCTCGTCTTATTTGACGGGATGTTACGATAACAGCTGCCGCAGCCGGCGCCGCCACCGCCGCTCCAAGGAAATTGATGTAAACGCAACCCGCTCATCGCCGCCGCCGCCGGGAGCGGATCCGCTCCCGCGGCAGCGGATTGCTTCCCAGGTGTAAACATACTAGGCCCTCCCTCTACCGCGGTCGCGTTTCGCGGCAGTCCTTCGCCTGTCGACAAAGTGTCAACCGCCGCCCGAAGTCGAAAACAAGAGCACTCAGGAAATCCTCAAGCAGTGCCCAATTGGCCTTTTAAGCTCAGCGGGCATGCATTCGTCAGAATGCTAAAAGCTCACCCTCTTCCAGGCGTAGATGTAGGCCACGTCCATGAGCGAGTAACCTTCCGAGAGAACGTCACCCATGTGCAGGATGTCAATCTGCAGCGGAGAAGCACCGATAAGTCTCGAGGCGATCCATGTCTTCGTCGTCCATTCCTAACAATTTCTCAAGCGCTCCAACAGTTGCTGCCATTACTTGAGTCAATACATTATTGCTGCAGACAAGAGACAAACAAAAGGGAACAGCGCTTACAGTCTTCTTTCTTCCACGTACCTTCGCGGTATCGAAACAGAATTGAACGGAGATCCTTGTTTCTAACGCAGCTGACTTTCCTCGCGCGTTTGGATATAGAAAGAATATAATAAAAACACTTTCATTCTCCTCATAAACGAATAATTATGCAGAGTGCGTTTCTCGCTATAAGTGCGCGTATATACCTCTGTTAGTTTTGTACTGATCTGCTGAACAGAAAATGTTTCAACGCGTTCCTGATCATAATCTCGAGTGTGGCCTGGTGCAAAAATGTCGGAAGGGAAGGTGCATTTTGAAGCGCCGTACCTCGGACATAGACAAAACGATGCAACATGTTTTTTTACGTATCAACGCAAGCATATGGTGAGGAGAAATTTCTTAGGAGAGGTTAAAAAAATCGAAGATGACTTCTGCTTTGATTGGACCTTCATGTTAATACATTTTTTGGTATGAGGTATGTTCGGAATAACGCGGATGTCTAAACTTATACATTACAAAAGTATACATTATAAGTGATATAACTTCTTGGGAAGAAAAAGTGAGAGAAGCTTCAGTGTTGCAATGTTACGAGGCGACTCACAAATGTAGGCCCAAGACGTCAAAGTTGTCAAGTTTGTGAATTTATGACGCGCGCTAGGTCAGTTCCAGAACCGCAGAAACATTTATTTCAATAGACTTCTGTCCCCAAGTTCCCA